CACTCTTTATTTTGGGGAGATGTGAGGAGGAATTATCACTGTATTTTACCTCTAAATTCACAGGGATATGATGAGATTAAATAAAGGTGCTGAGCTGCTGAGAAACAGTGATAGTAGGGAACATAAAACTAAGACAGTAGACAGACTCTCTCTATAATATTATTGTAAATAACCCTAAACAAAACATTTATATATTTTACCAATTAAATGTGCATTTTTCATCTTGATTTCTGTCTCTTCATTCCTAAATGTGATCTCTTAATCACATTTCCACAGGGTTGGGTTTAGCCTTTACATTCTAATGAAAGACAAATACCATTTCAAGAGATGCAGTGAATTCAGCACAAGCCCCAGATTCCCACATCCTGAGAATGTGTTGTAAGCAAATTTTTAAGACTTACGATGGTTCTTCAGACACCACAGCTCCTTCCTCCATCTCTTGAGCCTGCTTATACCATGGCAACTTTGCTTCCACGGGAAGTTTCTCTATGGAACAAAGATGGGCATGTGAAAGTAAGAAGCATGTAGTAATGTTGCTATGTGTGGCATCCTCACCTCTCATCAATCATACCTGTGATGTATGTGTGCTTTCTTCCACCTGGAGACTGAGCACAAAGAAGAGAGAGAAAGGAGAGAAGAGAGAAAAAGAAACTTGTCGCCTGGGCTATCACACTTGCAAGGTTATATGGCCAGATAGTTCACTGTTGCAGCTAGAAGGGCTATGGCATTCTAATGGCAAGAAGGCAAATTAAATCACTTTTTAGTCTATGCAACTGGACTGTAAAACTAGGCACTTCGGGAAGTATTTTTGGAGGGAGCCTTGCCAAATGTAACAGGCCTTCATTGACACTGCAAAGGCAAAACCTATAAAATCCTTGTGTTTACCCTTACATGTTAGAACTTCAGAAGACACACTAAGCTTGTTTTTAATAAATCACAAAAAGGAAGAAAACCCAGATTTGATGAGTGATACCACAGAAAATACAGAGAAATCATAATAAAATGACCCAGCTATACTTTTCAACTTTAGGTTTATCAGTTTATCAGCTATGTGGATTTAAAAAAAATGAGCTTGATACTTTTTCTGTCATTTCTGATGGAAAGCAGTACTGCTGCTTTCTTCCCCTCCAGTGTAATGAGCAGCTCTGCTTTGGGGAGTGCAGGGCCACGCCACTCCCCCAGCCAAACTCCAAACTCTGCTTTCCAGACCGTGTCAAAGTGGAGTATTTGGGCTTGTGAAGGACCAGGTATTTCCTTACACGAACATGAAATGTCCTTTGAGTCAGCCGACAATACTGACTTAAAACGGCGTCTCCACGCGGCGCTGAACCCCCTCTGTGTGTGTGTGTGTGTGGGGGAGCTGCTGCAGGGGAGGAGCCGTGGCCGGAAGCAGGGGCGGGACTAGGTCCCGTCTGATTGGCTGAAAAGCCCGGAAATGCAAAACTGGCCAATCGGGAGCGCAGAAAACCCCATAAGAGAGGCAGCGCGGCACGCCCCTCTCTCTTTCGCTCTCTCCTCGTGTTTGGGGCGGTCCTCTCCACACACTGCCTGCCGCCGCCATTTTCCTGCCCGCGTTTCCAGGGTCGGCAAACAGCCGTGCCGCAGCTATGGGGGTGGGAGGGGGGGGATCTGCACTTGGAGTGCCCGCAGCCTCTTTGCTACCCAGCTCATCCTACTTGCGCCACCGTGTGGTGAGACAATTCCGGCTACCCCAGCTTATAGGGGAAAGTATAATCCAGCCATTCGGGCATATCCCTCCCCTCTCCTTCCCTCACTTAAATAACTAAGGTGTATCCGTATATGTTTAATGTGTTTTAATCACTCCTTTTGAACCTCCTGCCCCAAATTGCTTTGTTTTCCCCACAATAAACCGTGCATTTCTTTAGAAATATTAGTAAGCACTGAGCAAGTTATTCACTCGAAAAAGTCAGGGCATAAGCCCCTGTCTCCTCTGTGTGAGGCGATACCCACGTGTGGATCTCTCAGCAAATCCTGATAAGTTAATACACTCCAATAAGGAGATATAATAGGTCACGGATTGTGACAGGGCTGAAGGCAGCGGAGCTGTTTTAGCTCTACAGGCGTATAAAGCAAGACCAAATCTGGCACTATAGTTAGAGAAGGAGTTCTGTATTTCAACAAAAAGTTCTGGGCTAGGATCAGGAGAAAAAACAGAAATAATAGGGACTGAGGGTCACACCGCTGAGGAGTACTGGTGTCAGACCTCTTTGCCACTCACAAGTTACCTAAGCCTTTTGGGCTTACATAATGCATGGATTTGTACTGACCAATGGGAGCAGATTAATGTCTCTCAGAATAGTTGAGAGCTTTCTGTGACTTCTGGGCACAAGAGTGAACCTTTCATATATGCACACAGAATTTCCCATCTGTCAGCTGTATCATAGAGGAGTTACAACTTGATTTCACAGCTACTGCAACTTTAGTCAAGCAAATTTCCTTGGAGCAAGTTATAAAGTGAGGAAAAAAGGGACAGAAATAGAGCTGCTATTCCTCTCTCTTAGGAATAACTTGCCAAGCTCTTCCTCTAACATATTTATTAATGCCATTTAAGGATGAATATTTGCCAGCACAGCTCTTAGTTTAATTTATATTTTACTGCATTTGTTATCCAAAATATGTAGGAGATATTTCTATTTCTATGTTCTGCAGCTGGTTTTATGGCTTTTGGAAAGCCAGTTCTAAATTCTCTGTGCTTTTTTACTTGGATGCAAGTGCTTGTAAAAAGCAAAAGCTCTGTGTACCATTGCATGTTATGTGACTTTTTAAATAACTTATCTTTTTAGAAGTGTAGGTAATTATCATCTACACTGTAATATGAGTTAGAGGATTAGAAATGTTGATATTGTACAGTGCACTTTGACATATATGAATAAAACATTCCTAACATAAGCCAAGAAGTAATTTTTATCTTTGGAGATTAAAGTAGAATCTCTCCTTTTATAAAATGGTTCTAGTAAAACCCCATAAATCCTACATTCTACAGAAAGTTGCATTAGATTAATACACCTTCTCTTAAAATTGAAAATTATTACTTAATCCAGGGATATCCTGTGTTTCCCCATTATTCATGTAAAAAAAAGTGCCTCAGTGATTGAATTAAAAATATTTAAAAATTATATGACTTAATTGCATTCTATTTCTGTTTAGCACAGTCTTGAAACAAAAGAGAACTCTGTTTTTCGTCTTGCTGCTTCAGTCATATGGGAAAATTGTTTCTCTGCTTTATGTAAATCCAGGTCCAGAAGGAAAAAGCAGGCTAAGACTAAAACATTCAGCAGAGGTGAGGTTAGACCCCTACTGCTCTAAATGTCTAACTCCAGATTTGTGAAATGAAAATTACAAACTTTCAGCTCAGAAATAGAATAATTTGAGTTGGAAGACACCTCTGGATATAATTTGGTCCAATTTTGTACTGAAAACATGATTCAGCCCTCAGACACTTGGGTCTTTAAATATTACCACTTGCATTTTGGAGGGACAACTGTGAGTATATTGCAGAACCAAGATGAGAAGTAAAATTAAAGCCAAACAAAACAGTGTGCTACACACAGGACTTTCCATCCCATGGGAAAAAATGGAAGAACAAAATAACTGCCTACAGTCAGAAATTAATCGTGTATGTACTGCAGAGGGCAGCACAAGAGTTTATCCAGGGTAAGGATGCCACCCTGCTGCAAGGATGGTGGGTGTCCAGCAAACAGCAATTTACTTTATTCCCAGACAAGTCCCATTACAAGATAATTCTTGACAGATGCAGGCAAGCAAATTTCCTAGCTGGTCTTGCACTGTTCTCAGGTTCCCTAGGCAGAAGTCAGTTGTGGGTGGTTGGCAACAGCTGATTTTTTGGTGTCTTACTGCATTTTGCTTATAGTGGATGCTACAGGCAGACAGGACCTTGCTTTACCTGTACTCTGAACAACATAGATAGATAAAGCCCCATAAAAGCAACTGAATGACTGAGACCAAACCCACTGAACCATCACATGAAAGTCAGAGTCCTGCTAACACAATCACAAGGCCCTTTTTTAATTATTTCACCTTGGAAGATGGACAGAGTGAGTTCATACTGGCCAGTAAAATACACTGTAAACACACTCATCACTCCCCAGAGGACCTGTGCCTGGGTTTTGTCACTTTGGTGGCTGGCACACACAGTGAATTCTCATGGTCCAGATAAATGGGAATCTTACAACTTGGCAAGTGTGCCCATTCACTTGGCACTCTGCACTGAGTGCAGAAAATAGAATTCCAGATTTCACTGTTCCATCTTGGATCAGCATGAGGTCATGGGTCACTTAATTCACAAGGCTTCAGAGTAAATGCTCTCAATATACATCAGGACAGCAGTCCATTTTGTAAAAAAAATTGATTTCTTCTTGTGGTTGGGTTTAATTTTCTAGTTGTGGGAAATAAAGTTCATCTGCATTGCTGTAGCCCAAAAATTTCCATAAGTTAATCAGCATACAGACACAGAATTTTTACAGATATAGTTGTATATACACACAAACACATGCACACTCATGTACCTGTGGAAAGAGTCAAATAACTGTGTCTACTGCACCTGGCCACTGCCCATTAATTCAACCGAGTTTTCGGGACTTTTCTAACATTCTGTTTCTAACAATAGTAGAAATATTTTTTTCCTTCTCTCAACAAAACATTGGCGATTTACCCCAGTATTATTCTCTGTCTGAGGCCCAAGCCAAGAAACACTTCTATGTAAATTGTGAATACTCTTTGATAGAAGACAGTCTGCCAGATTTTGCAGACTTGCTAGTAAGAGGAACTTCATGTTGGGGTATACAATGCTTGCTTCTGACCTATTTCATGTTCCAAGTTATGAACACGCACTTTAAAATCATGGTTACATTTATCTACCCTACATGCTATTTATATATTTAATTTATGTTAAAATACATAATAAAATTTTGCCCAGACACAACCAGTAAGGTCAAATCTGCTTCCACTATGGTAAAATTTAGATTTATATTGCTTGAACTGTTGGATCACAAATTAACATTGAAAACGTCACAGCCCATAAGAAAGAGGGAGACAGCACTCATTACAAGTTGCTAACAGGCTGACTAGAATAGGATTGGCAGGCCTTGAAGATGCAAATTCATAACTCAGCACAGGTGGAAATAGTGCTACCAGCAACAAAATGAAACTGCTCAATACTGAAGAGTTCTGAAAAATTTACAAGAATCCTTATGGGCGTCCTGGTTGGCAGCCAGCTGAACATGAGCCAGCAGTTTGTCTAGGTGGTCAAGAAAGCCAACATCATCCTGGCTTGCATCAGGAATAGGGTGGCCAGCAGGACTAGGGAGGTGATTGGCCCTGTAGTTGGCACTGGTGAGACTGCACCTTGAGTACTGTGTTCAGTTTTGGACCCCTCACTAGAAAAGGACGTTGGGTGCTGGAGCATGTCCAGAGGAGAGCTACTAACTGGTGAGGGGTCTAGAGAACAAGTCGTGCAAGGAGTGATTGAGGGAACTGGTGTTGTTTAGTGAGAAGAAAAGGAGGCTGAGGGGAGACCTCATCATCCTCTAAACTACCTGAAACAAAATGGTAGGGAGGTGGGTGTTGGCCTCTTCTCCCAAGTAGATAATTAACAGGACCAGAGGAAATGGCCTGAAGTTGCAACAGCAAGGTTTACATTGGATATTAGGACGAATTTCTTTACTGAAAAGTGGTCAGGCACTGGAACAGCCTGCCTAGGGAGGTGGTGGAGTCACCATCCTCAGAGGTGTTCAAAAGCTGTGAAGATCTGGTGCTTCAGAACATGTTGTAGTTAACAAGGTTGTGGTTTTTGTGGGCTTCGTTTGTTTGTTTTTGTTTTGTGTTGATGGTTTGACTCCATGATCTTAGATACCCTTTCCAACCATGAGAATACTGTGATTCCGTGATTCTGCCTCATTACCTTTGGGTTTGTAGCAAGGAGTGGGTACAATGCATTCTTCTTTTATGTGTGGCTTTGTTTTAGGACTACAGCCTCCTGTATGCAGCCCTCTGTGATCAATACAAAGGACCACACGGTATCTCAGTCCTTGTCCGCAGGTAACAATGCACTGGGGGAAAAAAAAAAAAAAGAAAAAAAGAGGTATTACACATCACAGGAATGACAAATACAACGTGAATATATAATAGAAGTATGTATACATCAGAGAGCAAAACATGAGGCAGAAATACACAACCTTGGGCTTAAATTATTAATAATAATTGCCCCTTATGGAGAAGGTATAAAACTGACAGACTTTTTTTGTCTTTTTGCTCTGCATATTTACATGGTTTGGACATTTTGCCACTGAATTTCTCTTGCAGTGTCACTCTCAGCATTGACTACTTGGCTTGTGGCCATTTATCCTGTATTGGATGTACTCAGTAACACCTTGACAGTTTTATTTGGAGCTACTCTGCTTTGCTTGGAAAACGTACTGGGCCTTATGGGTATAACAGGGTAGACACTCTATTTTGGAACATGGCACCAAACAGAATAGGAAACTTGGGTTTTGTTCCCTCAGACACTTTTTTAAGTCTTGCTGAATTTATTTTTGGGAAGGTACACAAATTTGTCCCCCTGTACAGATTATTTCAGAAGTGGTTGCACAGGAGAGGATCAAAACTACCAACCAGTGGGGAGGGCAACGGATACTAACAATATTACTTTGCTCTTGGATAGTGGCTTTCATCTGGAAATCATTAGACACTTTGTAATCAGTCAAGAACACCTTACCTGTGGGTGAACTAACTTAGCTTTTAAAACCTATTTTACTTGTTGAGAAACTGGGATGGTAACAAACTACATTCATGATTAAGTCTTCATGTACACAATCAAAGTATATTTATACTTTTGTAGAAAAAACTTTTTAAAGGTTTATTTTCATACAGAAGGACAAGTCAGTCAGGAACACACAACTGCAAGCATCGAAGAGCAGAGAAATTTATAGCTTTATGTATTTCTTGAAATTTCTCAGCAATTCATGATATTTAATTTATGACTGAAAGTTTGAACAAAGTTGCAACATTACATGCTAATTGGTTTTATTTTGTGCATTTTGTTTGTTTTCCCAGCCTATTGTTAGCAGAAGGTCACTAATATACACTACAGGTCTGATTTATTTTTCCATAATTCTCTTTAATTATGTTAATCTTTTAAATAAATTATTCATATTTACTTTGCAGTTAGACAAGAATAGAACTTTAAATAAAGGTAATGATAATAAGGAAGGAAAGTAATGCGTGTTTCTACTCCCACAAGCTCACTAAACTATAATTTAAGACATGTTCCTAGTGTGGTAAATACAAAACCAACAAAGCTAAGCTGGTTACCGGAGACCATTCCTGAGCAAGCCATTTTGGGCAGTCAAATATATTGCAAGGCTGGACAACAGGCATCTTTGGAGTATACATGCATTTCCATTCTTCCACAGGGCTGATATGCCCCTGAATGTCTTCTTCCACACATGAGACACTGCGGCTTTGAATGCCCCCTCCGCAGGAGGAGGAACAGGCAGTCCAGGGTGTACTTTCCCACCTGTGAAAAAACAAAACAAAGCAGACGAGCATCAGGAAAAGGAGCCCCTGCTCCCTCACCCACATCCCTCAAATGCATAGACTGCTATCTGCTGGAGATTCTTTTTCTTTTGATTAATGTTGGAAAAAATTAATCATGAGTATTTTCATTAATTCCCACACACAAAAAAAAAGCACTCTCATGGTTGCTGTCACACTTCTTCCACTAACCCAGTGACTGCTATCACAGAAACTCTAAATACTTTAAACTTAATTCCTTTTATTTAATTGATGGTATTACAATACATTCACAAATTGATGTGTTCCTGAGATTTTTTGTTACAAATCACTGGAAGCACAGAATGCTCTGAAGCTGATTTTTCTTTCGCGACAACATACAGGGAAACAGCACTGTTACTTTCCAGGGAAAGAACTGAGTTGAGGAAAAAAAAGATGGGAGGAAATTACCAAAAAGAACACAAAACTATGTTGATAGGACACATGGTTTCTGATGAAAAAAACAAATGGGCTTTATTTCCTTCAGCTGAGGCAGTAAGAGGGACTGAGAAAACAGCTTTTCTCTACAGGCGTCACTTGAGAATGCAATGACAAATCCATAAAACCACAGGTTTGTTCTGAAAAGGTATGCACATTCATGAGAATTTCATTTATTTATTTATTTATTTATTACAGTGATGCATATGCAGTAATGCATGTCTTGTTTTATATGTATACGTCTGTCCACATAAAATAGTCTGTTATTTCCTGTCTTAATCAAGCCATTGTCACAGGGAAGATCCTAGACTGTAGCCATGATCCAGCATGGGTATACCTGGAATGTAGAAACCTGTGCATACCTGGTTGTATAAAAATGTGCATGTTTTGTCTACCTGGAAACATTTCACAATTGCTTATTTATTTATTTATCCCCCCTCGATAAATATTATTTTGATAAGGACTTCAGAAAGAATGTTTGAAACAATTATTTTGGTAATGGGTTTTGATTTTTTGACTTATTAAAAAATGGTTCTTGCAGAAAAAGAACGCAATCTTTTTCCTTTTTCAGGTAAGAAGGAAAAAAGGTAAAAGGTGAGAATTTTTTTTCCCCCTCTCATTTTAAACAATGAAATACTTTTATTAAGCAGCAACTACAGGAGCACCAAGACTGTTAAGCATTACGGGAAATGCTTATCTTTCCCTCTTATTTTTCTTCATAGCAACACATCCTTTTCTCATGAGCTTCAGTACATGTAAGCACTACCCATACTTGGCTACTGTCTGAAAGTGCCACAAAACTCAAGTTGAAATGGCTTATGCTAACAGCTGTTTATAAATGGTGAAACCACTGATTAATTCCACAATTTATCACAAAGTGTTGAAGCAATGTTCATAACATGCCATATTCATCATCACATGCTCAGCATAAGCCATGTATGTCACAAACAGGTAATTTTAGCTATGTTTTTAGTTCAAATACATTACCTGTGGCTCTGCTGAACACATTTCCCAGCATATAGCTAAGGTTCCTCAATACCAAAAATCTAAATGACGAGGCCTCAAAGTGAAACTCGTGAATAGCAGTAACTGGTACAGCCAGCCTGAATCAGATTTTCCCAGGAATAAAAAGCCAACGTGACACATGTCTTTGGGACAAGTCTGGGAGTCTTTGGGACAAGTTTCTAGATGCTTTAGGCAACCTCAGTAGTGTCAAATTGTTTAAATCTAGGCAACTGATTTGGTCCTCAGGTTTTGTATGTGTGTAAGATAAAAAGGTGAAGTTTCTCTGCTGCATGGCTCTTAAAGTAGGTAGGTGGTCACAGCTCCTTTTGAGGTACAAAATATTGACCAAGAATTTGTGAAAGGAATTGGTGGTGCATTAAAAGTGAGCCCTGTATTCAGGGAACCATACATAAAATTCAAGGCTGAGGGATTGCAGGAAGGAAATCTTGTGAAGATGCCTTCCAGGTTTTTTCTCCTAGAGTGTCGCTCTCCCTGTCCCTGGTATTAAGTGCCAATCTCAGACAGGCAATGCAACCAGGGCCTGTCTAATTTTTTGTTTATTTGTTTGTTTGTTTTTGTTTTGCCTAGACTCTGCAGGTTCAGAGGAAAGACATTTCTAATGTCCCTGACTTGGCCCTGTCTCATGCTAGCCTTCTGGTCTGTTCAGTTTCTGCTGCCTCTGAGATCTGGAGAGGAGGTATGTGGCTGTGTCTTCCCTCTCAGGGTGAGAGAAAGACCTGGATCCTGTTTGTAAGTTCAAAGGAGCAAATGTGGGAGCGGGGGAGATGGAGTAGAAGGGAAGCAGCAGTGAAACAGCAGAGGGGAAAAGAGGGGCAGAGGTCCCAGCCAGCAGCTGCAGTCTGAGCACTTGATGGTGGGGGGTTAAAGAAGAGCAGTGTGCTGTGAGACGGGACCTAAAGGGACTGTTACAGGGTGAGACCATAATCCAGAACAGCTTGAGAAAAAGTCACAGCCTTTTGATCAATTACAGAGAATGAATTATCTTTTTTTTTTTTTTTTTTCTTTCAGTGTTACTGAAAGCTGAATACCTCAGGGTATTTTGATTCTTTTTAATTTGTTTTGTTTTGTTTTGTTTTCTTTAGCAGTAAAAAAGCCTCTGCCTTAGCTGTCAGTTCAGGATGCTTTTTCCTAAATACAGTTCCCATGCTGGCAAGTACTGCTGAATCATCTGCAGATATAAAATTGTTCTGTCTTTTGTCAATGTAGATGCCCTTTGTACACAATTGAAATAAATTGTTTCATTCAAAGCTAATTATTAATTTAGCTAAGTATTAATATTCTAGCTTCTATATTCCTTATTAAGAAAAGTTTAGTGTTTAAGGTTAAGACATATTTCTGTGATTTTTTTTTTAAAAAAACAAAAAACAGAAGAGTGTTTTCCAGAAAAAAAAAGGGAATTAGATGCAGGGTCACATTACACATATCAGGAATAATCAGTGATAATGATTGTGTGTGCATAACCATAAGCTAGCAAGATAAACAACTTTTTCAGATGACAGAGATAACTGATAAAGTGTATCAATATGAACGGCAGCCACAGTGCTTGGCAATTAAGCTACTCTCTTCGTCTTCTCACTCACAGTTTGGGGTGGGTCCATGGTTTGACTCTGTTGAACTTGAATGCACTGATCTTGCACATTCTACATTAGGCCTCACTATCATTTGAAGGAGGTTATTTCCTCACGGGGATGAGACTAACAAGTTGACTGGGGGTTCTTTCTGTGATTTCATACTCCATGACAATAAATTCACTAGGAGGGAAACACAGCCCTACACTACTGCATGTCCAGACAGTATTTCAAACCCAAGAAGTTATTATCCTTCAGCTGCCAAACATTTTTATCAGCGCCAGTCATGCTCACTGCTTGAAGAGTAATTACTCATGTAATTATTTCCATAATAGGAAGTCTTATATTAAAGACATTTTTGATTGTGAGATAAGTAATAATACAAATCAGGCTTTGATCCTATTCTTGTCATGATCTCTGATTTCATAGAAGTGTAACTGGATTAATGCCCCTGGGCATTAGTATGGGTCTGCAGGATCAGAACACAACACTAACACTGTCTGAACCCAAAATCACAAATTTCAAAACATTCAAGAAGCAGCACCACTGGAGAGAGAAATTCTGATTATTCATTGCAAAGCCACAGGTTATAGCCCAGCTCGTAGATGGGTAAAGGGAATAAAAAAAGGAAAGGTGTGAGAGAAAAGGGGAGGTGGGGGTGAGGGGTGCGGAAACAGAGAAAGAAATGGACTACACACATAATAAGTCTGCCTTGCTCCTTCAGATAGCATATTGTTTCAGTTCCGCACAAGCAGAATTTATAACAACAAGTTAGGACTTGAACATTCTACGTTAATCTGCAGGAGTTCAGAGCAAGAGAAAAGTAGCATCTGGTTGACTGTTTTACATACCGAGGAAGGGGATGGTAGAGGTCATAGGGCATGATCTGCTTGTATCCATCACTGTTAGGAACAATAATGCCAACCCTCTGAGTAGAAGGTACACATAATAAAATAAACACTAAATGATTACATTTTACAATTATTATTTTTTTTTCACAATATTAAAAAAAACCAAAAACCAAACCAAAACCAAGCCAAAAACCAACCAAATAAGATATTTTACCCAAGCTGCCATCAAATTTAATGTAAATTTATGCTCCCATCCTACTGTTTCTGAGTTGTTCAAAGAATAAACCACTGAGTACTAGTTTATTCTTATGAATGTATTAGTCTGACTAAGAAGCAATCCATTACTGTGAATGACCCAAATGGCTTGTCCAAATATAATTTATGAGGTTACTATTCGCCATTATGAAGGAAAAATACCTACACTTAATGCTTTCTTGGATGTTGGATTCAACGTCCCAGAAGAAAACAGGGGGAACTTCTCTCTGCTTCAGAGAGCTCTAGATCAAACCCTTTAAAAATTTTTTATATGGTTGTTTCTGCCCTTCGGACAAAAATGTCTGCTTTTACAGGGACAAAGATTAGAAATCTGGGGAATCCCAGTTTAAGAAAAAACTCTTGCAATTCTTGTCTCTCCACCTTAAATCAGTTACATTTCATTCATTGTCAGAACCTGCCTCTTGTATCTAAATAATATAACATCTAAAGGTTATAGAAGACAATAGTGTAGATAAAAATTAGTAATAATCTGAACTATTATCATGCCAGTCATGTGTGAGATGGTATCACTTGACTTCTTGGCAGCAATAGTCTCTCACTGAATTTCTAGTCTGGAACTTCATCTTTTGACTGCAATTTTATAGATTCTGACTCAGAGTAACTCTACCCATGTTGTCTCCCAATTATCAGGCATATCCATTGTCATCAAATAATCACAGAGCACCTCATCTATCATTTCATCAAAGGCACTGTGTAACAGGTACCTTGGAAGGGGCAGGTGAGCAGAACCATTAAAGAGTGAATGCCAGTTGAATTAAATAAAAGGTATATCTCTACCCAAGTTATTGAGAGATAAAACTGACTGAAAAGCATGAAGGTAGTTTTTGAGAGCCCTATACAGATGAAACATGCTTGCTATGCTGCTGTGGGTTTCTGCAAGGTAAGAAGCAAAGGTAGGGAAGGGAGAAAGTATTCTCTGTTCTCAACACATTACACTGAAAATTGCTGCAAGCATTCAGAGATGTCTTGTCATGTAAAGCTAAAGGGGTTTATTCTACTTTCAGTCCATGGGGTTTTTATGTGTAAAACTTGTCCATGATAGAAGAATGGATCTCATTGTGTTTTCACAGTGAGATGTCAGCACCAGGTCGGCATCCTGGAATTTTCCAGCTGAAGTGCAGGAAGATGCTGGAGCCCTAGGAGTGTGTGATGGGGACTTGACAGCTCCCTCTAAGATTAGCAGCCTCTGCAGTCACAGGAGCCCTCCAAGTGAGTGCACATATTTGCAACTTCGAAGAGCTGCCTTTCTCCACAAAAACCTAAGTATCTAAGAGAGGTAGTTCTGGCACTGGGAAACTTCAGAAAAGACGAAAGGATCATTTAGAGTATGGCTAGTAAATTAGTCTTTTCAGACTTAGCTTGACAGGTGAATGACTGGAGAAGTTTGAGGAATTGTGTATCAGTGTTTTAAGAAGATGAGAGAGGACTTTTTCTTAGAGGTTTTTTTCTCATGTTTTTGACCATCTGACTCTTCTACCACTGCTGCTGAAGTTCTGCTCAGAAGGCTTTTGCACTTTCCAGTTCACCAGCTTGCTGAAGAGCACTTGGAATAAAGATTAATCTACTAAATTCAGAAATAAATTAATTATACTATGAAAGCATTTACTGCCTAAGAAAGAAACAGATTTTAAAGCATTTCTCATTCATTTCAGTGATACATGTTTTATTTCTAATAAACATGGTTTGCATGCATAATTCATATCTATATGCATTAGAATGCGTAACATCCAAGGCCATAATAGAAATAACCATACCACATGCAAGCACTGCTACAAAGATAAAATAAAATTTACAAAGCACTAGATTAATATTGTTATTGGAAAGGTTTGACCTCCAAAAAATTTGCATACACAGGTTGCATTTCTGTAAATTGTACACAGATCCACAGAATTACTGATGCCCTCCTTGTCCATATGTGAAGAGTTGCCAAAGGTTGTTATTCTGTTACTGCAAGATAGTGACCACCAACAATGTAAATCCCACAGACAGTGAGGAATAAAACCACGTCAATAATACACAATGGCTTTGAGACTTTAAATATTGGCTTGAAGAAACAACAGAACAGCAGATGGGCATTGTACCGTTAGTGGCAACTGTATGTTTTTGAGCTAGTCTCGTGTTCTTTGATGTGTGTTCCACAAAAATCAAAGCAAAACAAAAAAACAAACCAAACAAAAACCGTCAAACAAACAAAAAACCCAAAACAAAACAGACCCCACAAGCCTACATGAATTATTTAAGAAACATTTTATAAAATATTTTGGTGAATCCTATCCTTTTTGACTGGATAAAGTAGTTTAAATTCCAGGAATCTATCAATCTATCATGCTCCTATAAAAAGATGGAAGACATCTAGTTTATGGGCTTTTTTCACTGTATATTATTCAGGCAATACAACAAGGATGGTGTGCTAAATGAACGGAGCAAATAATAATTCCTTCACTACACTGAGATGTCTGGCTGATGCGAGAGCATCAGGACTCATTCATACAACACTTAGAGCAAACCTGTTTTGGCAGGAGCAGGATCACAAATAAAATTATTTTGAATATTTGTTGTGTTATGTCTGAAGTCTCCCATGCCTTTCAGACTAACAAGTTGTGTCTTATACTCTGCAGCTTGGTTTGTTTTCCTCCTGAGCAGCATCAACACAGTTGTTCTTCCAAGGCACACATTCAGCTGGAGCAGGAGCTTTACATGCCAGAGGTGGGTGTGCTGCACCCAGGTCTGCCATCTCTGCCAACGTTCAGCTTTTCCCTGGGATGGGTGCCTGCAGCTGCTTTCCTTGAAAGTCATGTTTAGCGTTGTCTTTCCCAGTAGCTTCTTTTCTTCCTTAAGCTACCTCCCAAGAACAAATGGCAGGCATGAACACCTCTCTCCTGTAGCTCCCCAATGACTCTGACAGGCGCCAGCTCTTCACACCTCCCTATCCTGGCACGCCCACAGCTCTCGGTTTGGGCACCTCTAGAGCTGAGCCAGAGCTGGGAGAATAGCCAGCAGAGAGAAAGGGCATCTCCCCTCAAGATGCCTCAGAGTGGTGTGACCCTGCCTGGAGACAATGTGCAGAGGCTGGGAGTGGGTGGAGGTGCCCACTGCTCCCAAACTAGCACTCCTGCATCATCCTGTGAAGTGCCCAGCCTCTGCAGGGCACTCACATGCCTCCAGCTCACAGCCTTCACTTCTGCTGGGGGCTCTGTTTTCCTGGCCATTTCCTACCCCTAGTGCTGCAGCTGCAGGCCTGCCCATAATCCCAGGTGACTGAAGCTGTTACACCTCTTTCCTCATGGGCACACACACAATGAAAGTTTACTCTGAAATCTATCAGGCTTCAAGAGTAAATGATCCACATGGCAGGAACTATGCCCTCTAAGCAATGGCCCAAAGTGTGTCTGGATAATAGACAATAAAAAGTTGAAGTAGCTGAAGTTGGCTGTGAACAGCTAATTTGTTAAGTGAAAGGAAAGACTTGGCAGACCTGAAAAAGTTAATCATAAAAGATAAGAGTTTATTATCTAAGCTAGCAGTTCCCTTAGCACCTTGATTATCACTGGACAAACAACAGCCTTCTGAGAAGGTCTCTAGTTCAACATTACAAATCCCAACATGAAGGCAGTGTGTGGTACTGCACCCTCTCCTCACACTACTCCCTTAAGATGCCACAGTGTGACAGTAGCACAAGGTGATACTCAAGAAACCCTGAGAAACAAGTATTGAGGCCCTCAAAGACAGTATCTCTTATTATTTCCTATGTGTCTGTCTGTAAAGTTATCACTATTTTCATTCAGAGCTGGAGTAGATGACATCTACAGTGACACCAGAGGTACAGGCAGCATTGGCCTTTGAATACATCCTTTCTCAAGAAAGTAATATTGTGGGTCCCAGCTACTCTACCAGTATGAGTTTCGTTCCTGGTTTCTGGACCAATTTGCTTAATTCTGAAATACAGATGGTACTGTGATCATCTCATCACATTACACTCAATCAGTGTGGAACTTGAAGAACTACCATCTATTTTGTATTTAGGGGTCCTTTTATATGGTCTTGGTACTTTGCACGTTGACAAAAACCAGTGTCCCCTACCTAAATATTTTTACATAGAATGTCATTAGATACTTAAATAATGAATGTAAACATGCAAAGGACCGCTGAGAAAGCTATCCTGCATCAACCTTCAAAAAAATTACATACTTTAAATAGCATGTCTGTTCAGCACACCAGTATCTCACATTTATAATAAATGACTTGTTCATAGCGTACAGATTTCACATTCTAAGAAACATATGCTTCACTTATCAGTGCCATAGAGTGCAAAAGTCCTTAGAGGGCTTGAAATAGGTGTCATCAGTTGGAATCAGCAGAAGTACTTCCGTCCTGTGACAAGACTGTAATGCTTCTAAAAATCTTCCCCCTTTTTCATTCAATTTAATATTTTATGATGGTTTGGATGAACAGTGTTTGATATAAAGGTGGAACTTTGTTGTTATTTCCCACTACTAAATGTTAACAACTGAATATCCAGTGAAAATATCTGTAAGTAACCATCTTACTACTTGCTGCAATTTTGGTCTCTTCTATAAGTTAAATACACTGCATTTCCTACAGCTTCACCTTGGGCAGACAGATATCTGTGATGCTTAGAGCAGTACTACTTTCCCACCTCACAGTTTGTTATCTAATGTATCCTGATAGCTTCTTTGTGCCTTTCTGTTTTTCTCCAATATGAACTATTTTCTTAATTTGCTCTGTTATTCACATCTTTTAACACTTTGACAAAT